GGTCTGCAGCGTGACTTATCCTCTGGTGTCTGGCTTCCCTAAGAATGGCAGGGTAGTTCCTGTTCTTGCCTGAGGTAATGCACAACCTCAGGGATTTTTAAGTCACAGATTGAAGAGTATAAGACCTTTTCCTATGGTAGAATATAGCTCCAATTCATGGTAGAATAAAAATTTTAATGTGTAAATAAAATATAGTCAAAATATAAGTCTACACTGAATATATGTGGAAAAGATATTTAATTGCAAAATAGAAAAGTAGGCCAGAGTACAGTTTTAAGGGTAATTGCTTCTTTATACAGTATAGATAATCCAGAGAGCTTTCAGGTTTAAACATTTTCATAAAGCAATAAAACATTAAAAAATAAAGCAAGAAAAAAAGGGCTTGAAGTTATGTTTTACAAAATAGAATGTATATTCATACATTGTGGAATTTAACAACACTGGGATGAGAGCGAGTCACAGCACAGACACTGGGCTTTCACAGGGAAAAGTAAGTGACCGCAGACATATCGATAGCGTCACTGTAGTACAAAAAATTCTTGTTCTACATACAAAAGCAATTATTTTTTCATAAGAATAATTTCCTGGGAGGGGGGAATAAGTCCATGAAATATTTCAGAAACCCATAAGCATTGAGTTTTCCAAAAACATTATCTTAAAATCCAGTGCCTTAAAGTGCTTTCATGTGGAAATCATGATGGAAGGCACAGAATACAGTTTTCACGTCCCCACTATGAAATTTTCAGAAAAGCATAGATTCTGCAGAGTTCACAAATTCAAGTTATCTTGTAAGCTGCTCCTTCCAAGAACATTGTCATTCCAATAAAACCAGCCGCTAGCTCACTTAGCTTCAATGACCTACAGAGTAAAAGGTTTTTCCCCCCCGGTGATTCTTCATCTTTGTGGGAAAAATACCTATGCAAGGGATGCACTTTGAAATTATAAAACATGCAGAATATGTACAAACAGAAATTTTAAAAAATATTTGCTTCATATACATGTAAATCTACTTGGGTATAGCTGAAATTGAACAAATATAAAAATTTTGCTTTCTAAAAAAATGTTTTCAGAGAATCTGAGACAACTTAAAGCTGTACAAAGATTTCCTGGGAGAAATCTCTTCATGTAGAAGTTACACCTACAGGAATAATCTCGGCATCAGTCCTCCATAATTATTACACGACATTTGGTCTAATCAACAACGATCACCCTTAAAACTGTCCTGTTTGTGAGAAATTAAGGTCTGTACTAAAATCAGAAAGAATTCACAAAAACAGTGGCTTATTGTATTTTTGGATCTCTTCAACAATCTTTATCAACTCATTTGGAACTGTAAAAAAACAAAAACTATTTACAGAATTCAGTTTTAAATACATTTCACAACCTCTAAAGTAAAGTTTTATGTTACAACAACTCAGAGCTCATGGCTTAAGTCCAATTACCAATTCGTAGTCTCTTCTATTTTCCTGTATTTCCATGACTGTACCCTTGTTGTGTACAGTTCGAGATTGTATTCTTTCTCCACCAAAAGTGAAATCAAACTACATGTTCATTTCAATTAAACAGCTTCTTTATTAGTCTGAAGACGAGTCATGGCTTCTAATTTCTGTCTGTAGGCCTCTGCCTCCTGTTCTTTCTTTAGAAGCTGCTGCCGATATTTCTGTGCTTCTCGATTCGCTTCATCCAGCTGTTTCTGAAGAGCTTCTCTCTCCTAATTGAGAAAATAGTTTTTCAATATGTGCACCAAATATATTAACATATATAATCACACATCCTTCAAAAACAAAATACCCATGTGGCCAAAAGTAGCTATGTATGTACTTGTACTCCCTAGATATCTCGCCCTTTCAACCAACTCACTAATAACTAAGCTCCTAATTGAGTTCTCTCCATGCTATGAGATACAAATTAGCTTCTGACTTCAAGGAAACTATTTTCTAATTAGAAATAAAACCAAGAATGAACCCAAATAGGGTATCTGTACTTTTTATATGTACTATAAAAACTGGGGGAGCCAGCAGGTGGAGTGGTGGTTAAATACGCTGGATTTCCACATGGCGAACCATGGTTCAAGTCCCAGACCTGGCAGCTTGCTTTCTTGCTTTAACTTTCTTTCTCTCTCTTTGTCTGTCTGGTCAAATGAAAAAATAATAATAACAAATGGAATTAAATAAATAAATCATCCTTTTATTGAAAACTAGAGAAGAACTTTAAGAGGGAAATACACAACTAGAACTCTTTAAATCTCTACTTGTGGTATGTTTATCTACAGGTAATATTCACTGAGCACCCACTCTACGACTAGACAAGTGATTTCCAATACATCTCCAAAGTAGACACGATGCCCATGTTAGCGATGAGGAAAATGATGCTCATGATTATGAAGCTTTCCCAAGGTCACAGTAAGGAGATGGGTTTACGAGATTATAATATTAACTGCTTTTAAAACTATCTTCCTCTACAATTGCAAGCAGGACAGTTTATCTCTAAAATAAGCAGTGCTGATCAACATTATCGTTTCCTAAATTATACCACTTGCAAATCAATAAAATACCAAATTTTCTACTGCAATCCATTAAATTACACAGGTATAAAAAGTACCTGTTAAAATCATAATAAACTGAGAAACACAAATCCAGTCCACTGAAAAATGGTATTCCTTCTCCTCTCTCTCACTCTACTTTATTCAGTTACTTCAGGAAAACCATTTCAAAATCCCTTTCTCATACCTCTAGTAAGCACATGGGTTCATAGGTCCAAGCTCAAGGGAAGTGCAGTCTTAGGAACCAGGCAACCTCACCTGGAGGCTCAGGACCTCTTGGCAGGTTAGAGGCCACAGGTAGAACTAGAAATCACAAGACAGGCCAGGTTCACACTGGACAAGACACTTGGCCAGGGGAACTAAAGGGAGGGCAGCCTGCTGGGGAAGAACAGTGTGACGGTCTTATCCTGTAAATATATAACCAGTCTTCTTGACACTTGCCCGCTGTGAACACCACAAGAGTCCCTCCTCTTCACAATGAGAAGCATATATAATCCTCCTGCCTACCTGTGTCCCCATTTCTTCCCACACAAAAATGAAGCTATTTCTAAAATTTTTCTTCACATGGGTCCACCAGAAGTGGAGTGACTGATCATGGTATCCCCCCACTTATTTTCACTTTTGCTTTTCACAGTTGCTGTCCATGGTCAACCACTGTCCAAAAATAGATGAACACAGTTCAGTACAATTTCTAGTACACATTTCAAGATACTTTGAAATATGGCCCCACAGGACAGCAATGAAGGGAGGTGGATCCCATATTATTTACCATGATTGGAATCCTAGCCCGGCAGCTTGAGAAACAGACTGGAATGTATTCTTATTATATTAGGCAGTGGATTATAAGGCAAGGAAAGACGTTAAGGCTTTTGCCATATAGAGTGTGCGTTTACCAGAGAGAGAGAGAGACAGTGAGAGGGGAAGTGAGAAATCACCCCCCAGGAGGATGGCCACACTGCAATCCCTTCTTTTCCATTCTCCTCCTGGGATTTTGGGCACACATACCGGGTGTGATTTTTCAAGCCACCAGTTCCGGGACTCGAACTGAGGTCAAACATGTGGAAGTCCAGTGCCTTAACCAGTATGCAAACTGCTGGCCTCTGCTTTTTAATTTTCAAACAGACTCAAGCAGATTCTTGAGTTCTGCTTTGTCTAGCAGCAATGATCTCTAAGTCTTATCTTGTTTCTGTTTTTAGGGGTTTTTTTTTGGTCATAGGGCCTGTGCGCTCTGGAAAGAGAGAGATAGTGATAGGGAAAATGAGTAATCACACCCCCCCACACCCCTGAGGGGATGGCCACACTGCAATCCCTTCACCTACATGCTCCTGAGATTTTGGGCACACAGGCATGCTATACCAGGTGTTAATTTCAAGCTGCCAGGTCAGGGACTCAAACTGTGGCTAGCCATGTGGGAGTCCAGTGCCTTAACCACCACACCACCTGCTGGCCTCAGTCTTGTTAATTTTTAATACATAATTTCTAATATTCAAATTTGTATTTTGCTTTAGCTATCACACACACAAAAAAGCTACAGTGATTTCTTCTACTTATCTCAATGTAAATTTTAGAAAGATAGCAACAATAGCAATTACCATTCACGGAGCATTTACTACATGCTCACCAGTACCAGTCCTTCACAGGTTCTCCCATCTAATCCTTTGACAATCTCACAACATATGCCTATCATTTTCCACTTTTGACTGATGAGAAGACATGCCATGAAAGGTTAAATAACTTGACCAAGATCACACAATCAGAAAATTATAAAATCCAAACCTATATGTGATTCCATATTCATATTCCTAGCCACTTAATTTTTTTTTCTTTTTTTATTTGGAGAGGTTTTTGCTATAGAGCTCATGCGTTCGCCAGAAAGACAGAGAGAGACAGAGAGACAGAAAGCGAGAAATCACCCCCCAGGGGGAATGGCCACGCCGCAATCCCTTCTCCTCCATTCTCCTCTCAGGATCTTGGGCACACACACACACACACACACACACACGCACCCGGCGTGAGTTTAAGCTGCCAGGTCCGGGACTTGAACCGCAGTCGACTACATGGGAGTCCAGCAACATAGCTATTATGCTAACTGCTGGTCCCAACCACTTAATTTTTTAAAAAAGAGACAAACTAGGCAAAGTATGTGAGCTGTTAGCTTATGTATAAACATCAATTTTATAACTGCCTTGAGCCAAATATGACAAATATGATCTTGTTTTTATAAATTTTCTTTTTTTTTTTTTGAGAGGTTTTTTCTATAGGGCACGTGCACTCACCAGAAAGACAGAGAGAGACAGACATACAGAAAGCGAGAAATCACCCCCCAGGGGGGATGGCCATGCCACAATCCCTTCTCCTCCATTCTCCTCTCAGGATCTTGGGCACACACACACACACGCACCCGGCGTGAGTTTAAGCTGCCAGGTCCGGGACTTGAACCTCAGTCGACTACATGGGAGTCCAGCAACATAGCCATTATGCCAACTGCTGGTCCCTATAAGTTAAGTTTTCTAAAAATACAGCCATACCTATAACTTCCATATTTTCTTTTTTTCTTTTATATATATATTTATCATATTTTATTTATTATTATTTTTTAATTTGACCAGGGTGGGAGAATAAAAAAGCAAGCTGCCAGGCCTGGGACTCAAACCACAGTTGGCCATCCAGGAGTCTAGCACCTTCACCACAATACCACCTGCTGACCCTGCTTCCAAATATTCTATGGTTGCTTTCCCATAGAAATGAGCAGCTACAACAGAGACTGGACAGCTTAGAAAACCAAAAATACTTGCTACCTGGCCCTCTCCAAAACACTTTGTCATCTCCAGCCCTAAAAAGAAAAATTATCAAGAGACATAAGTACAGAAAATTATAAACTTAGATAAAGAAGGATATCCATTACTAAAAGGAAAACAGTTTGGAAAAAAATCTGCATCAAATAAAACACTGAATAAAGTTTACAGAAATTAATTTTGAAAAAGCACTAAGATCCCAATCCACCACTAGTTACAGGACATAAGCATTTTATTAAAAAACAAAATTTAAAAATAAAACAGTAAAATTTTCTGTAAACACGTTTATCTCTACTCTCCACAGAAAAAGGAAACATATTTCCTAAATTCACACAACAGAGAAAATTTGTTATTAATACATTAACTATATTTCTTCCCTCCCACATGCACAAAGATTAATGTCAATGCAGAATATTCTTATGTTGTTTACTTATGGAAGAAATCTGAAAACACTATTTCTTCCAAAAACATCTTCAATGGAGTAGTAATAAGAGGTATTGATGAAATTATACACATCATTGCTAGCTGGTGTCTTATTCATACATTCCCCTCCAAAAAACAAACCTATTTAATTTCCTATATTGTTATAATACAGACATAAAAGTCAAACAATTTATAATAAGTTTCCTGCGATTTAAACTAATTTTCCAAGAAACTGTTGGTAGACTTCTCCCTTGTTGGTTGGGAATCCTGTATACATAAACCCTTGGCACCTTCCTCAGAGTCACACTGATTAATTATAGACACACACAGAGAAAAACCAAACATGTTAGATTCAGTATAACTGTTAATTTTTCATTCCTTTAGAGCAATCTCAATGTCAGCATTATTGATATTTTTGGATCATATAATCTTTATTGTGGGAGGTTGCTCTGTGCATTCATCATAGGATGTCTACCTGGGAATGCCACTTGTGACAATCAAAGATGTCTCCAGACACTGCCAAATGTTCCCTGGAATCAAAATTGCCCCAGCTGAGAACCACTGCTTTATAGAAATTTTTTGGGCTAACAGTCAAGGTGTCACTTACAAAGGAGTATAAAAGACTGCCCCCAAGATAATGGTAGTGGTCATCTAAGATAAAGAATTCAGAAGAACAACAACTTGGTGCACTATTATAAGAAAACAATGACCTGTTTGATGAGAACACTAGTCCTCTCTTCATTCTTTATCCCTTGCCTCCTCTACCATCTCTACTCACTGTATGTCAAGATTTCTCGGCAATTGTTCTAAGAGTTCATGCAACCCTGGTTGAGTATTTCCAGTGAGGGAGAATAACATTTCCATGAACAGAAAGCTCTAATTATTAAAAAAAAAAAAAAAAAAAACAGAGAAAAAACACTGTTCTTTATATCAAGCTAGAACTCCATCTCCCTAAAGAGCTATCTCTTTGGTCCTCGTTTACTTATATACAACAAGTCATACTTTCTAGTTATTTGTAATTATTCTTCCTGGTTTCTGAAAGGTGTGAAAGAGAAGATTCAAAATGAACTTTGATGAAAACAGGTATGCCCACAAGACCTTAGCTTATATTTAACAAAACTTCAAGTTATTTTAAAATGTATTATTGGTTAAAGCAAAATCCATGGGAAAATAAATGTATTATAGGCCTAAAAAAGATCATCTGACATATCAGAAAAAGGCAACAGATTGTTAATAAACATACCAATACTGTTTAATGGAAGAAATTGTTAGCGTGTGAATAAGAATCTCATCATCCTTCATATCACCTTAAATTTTGAAGAAATAAAACAACTGCTCTCCATCTAATCAAGTCTATAATGTCAACTAAACATTCTGGTTAAATCATGAATCAGATTTTTTTTAACTCAATATTATCTGTGATTATGGTTAAAGTTGTAGGAGTCATATATCTAAATAAATTTGGGAATGGTATTTTTTAGTTATCTTTAGTTAGAATTATGTTACCTTTTAGTGACTTTAAAAAAACTTTCTAGAGAAAAGGTTTATAAAGATTTACTAAATATTTACTGAATATACTATAAATATCTATCAAATATTATGAAAATGTGTATAATTAGTATACTGACTTTTCAATTCTTATAAAAATCCTAAAATGAAGGTATTATTTTAAATTTCAGTTTAAGAGAAGAGGGAACTGAAACTCAGAAAGGTATGATAAATCGCCTCAAAGCTAATAAGCAAGATGTGGATTCAACCCGAGCTCATTTGATTTTAAGTCCACTGCTCTTCTGAAGATAATTCAGTAACTTTGTTATTCATCTGATACAATAAATTTGGGTGACATCATTTTATTTGCAATCATGTGAGGAAAAAAATCTTGTGAGATAACTATGATTTGGTCACACTTACAAACTGGTTTAAACTTACAAACCTCTTGGAGGGGGAGCTGAATTCAATTAACAGCTAATCTAAATTAATTTAATCCTTCAAGTATTTACTAGCAAAATAAGCGATTATCTACTGCTTTTTAAAAAATAATCCACTTGATAAACACTAGCCTTCTTTCAGAGGACTCCCAAGCCTATTAAAGCATCTGCATTATATTTTTGAAAGAAAAAGTTTTTGAGTCAGTTAATAGTGGTGTTCTCCTTTAGTGACTTGTGAGAATGGTATGTGTAAGTTTCACAGAAAATGATAATGGAGTGTAAGAACCAAAGACATTGCAATGCTATGGGGATGACAGACTTTGTTACAAACAAATTCTTCACTCGCTCATTCATTCATTCAATATTTATTTATTGAAGGCTTGCTATACGTATAAGGCAAAAAAAAAAATTAAACAAAATGATAATACTATGTACTTTCATTCTGCATCATAACAATACTGTCAGTAATAAATATAAAAGACAAAAAAAAAAAAAAAAAGAAAACGAAAAGCAAATTGAATTTATTTTGGATGACTGCAGCAAAACACACCGGGTAAAAGACTCCTTACTTCTATTTCTGCAGATTCCACCCGGTTTTCAATTATTTCGATACATTGTCTCTTAGCTGGTGGTTCTTCACTTATAACAGTGGAAGTAAAAAAAAAAAAAAAAAAAAAAAAAAAAAAAAAAGCAAACGAAAAGCAAATTGAATTTATTTTGGATGACTGCAGCAAAACACACCGGGTAAAAGACTCCTTACTTCTATTTCTGCAGATTCCACCCGGTTTTCAATTATTTCGATACATTGTCTCTTAGCTGGTGGTTCTTCACTTATAACAGTTTCTTCAGCAATGTCTGTTGCCGGTACTGTTAATACTAAAATGGAAAAAAAAGAATACATTACTTCATTTTCAGATAGGTATACTAAAAATAAAAGTAACTTTGGCATTGTCAATGCTATTCATCTAAAATAAGTTATATTTCAAAACTGATCTGCTTTTTATAAAGATGTTCATAATTATCTTCTCTAACTAACATATTACTGAAATCTAACTATTTAAATTACTTATTTCTTTAAATTTTTATAATATTAGGTTGTCAGAAAAAGTCACAATGCAATTTTATATAGAAAAAATTATATCATGACTTTTCCAACAACCCAATATATTCAAATTTGTATTGGCTCAAAATTCAAAACAATAAGCATATTCTCCTTTTTTTTTTATAAATTTTTTTTTCTAATTTTGCCAGGGGGTATGTGCACTTGCTGGAGAGAGACAGAGACAGACAGACAGCAACAAATCACTCCCACCATGGGTTACACTGCAATCCCTTCTCCTCCATCTCTCCTCCCTTTCAGAACTTTAGATACACAAGTGCATGCACTGGGCACTCCTTTTAAGCTACTGGGTCCAGGACTCGAACCATGTACTTGGCTAATTGGGATCCAGCCACCTTAACCACTATGCCACTGAGTAGCTCAACAATCATATTCTAAAAGGTCTCATACCTGACCCTGCTAAAAGAGACCATCACTTTTATTAGTATATGTAATAACAGTGTATTCATCTCTACATAAACAAAATGAGTATACATTCTAGGTTTTGTTACACAAAAGGTAGCATCCATACAACACACACATGCAAACATACATACAATAGATATACTGTTCTACAACTGCTTTGCTCATTCCATATATTTGAGTAGCTTACGTATCATCACATACAAAACTTCCTTTTATTTGGCTGCAAAATATTCCATTATGTGGATATACTACTGTAAATATCCATTTATAAACTTTGCTTCTTCTCCTATTGGATTCACTTTATCTGAACTTTTTTTTTTGGAGAGGTTTCTGCTATACGGTGCATGCGCTCACCAGACAAAGATAGATAGAGAGATAGAAAGGGAGAAATCACCCCCCAGGGGGGATGGCCACACTGCAATCCCTTCTCCTCCATTCTCCTCTCGGGATCTTGGGCACACACACACACACCCCCAGCGTGAGTTTAAGCCACCCGGTCCAGGATGCAAACCGCAGTCAACTACATGGGAGTCCAGCGACATAGTCATTATGTTAACTGCTGGTCCCTTATCTGAATTTTTAATAATTCTTTAAATAAATGTAAATATACAGAGTGTGTCCTTGCTCTGCACAGCAGTACAGGACCATAAAAATGACTATGAGAGCTGAAACCATGCAAAATAATCTTGATAATCAATAGAGAAAACTATAACTGTCCTGTGGCTTTTAACACTTTTTGTCAAAACATTAAAAGTTATCTTACTGTCAGTTACAAATGGAAACAGAAATTTAAAAAAAGTAAAAGAAATAATATTGAGAACTAAAGTGTTTTATTTATTTTTATTCACGTCACACTACATTTATAAATGAACTCAAGAAGAACTGAGAATTTATATCATTTCCATTAGATTATCCATATAGTTCATGTCAGTTACACACTTTTAAATGATGGAGGTTTTAAAAGGTTTATTTTAAGCCCAGATGCTGTGGCATGGGTGATAGGGCATTGCGGTACGATACTAGAATTACAAGGAAACTAGAGTTTGGATTCCAAGTTGACTTAAATTTGCCCATACCTCGGCCAGCAGGTGGCATGGTAGTTAAGGTGCTGGATTCCACATGGCCTACTGCATGGTTCAAGTCCCAGATCTGGCCTCCTAGAAAACATGCCAAGTGGCTCGAAATCCAGGAAAAATGGAGAAGGGATTGTGGTGTGGCCATCTACTCTGGGAGGGGGTGGTTTCTCACATTCCCTCTCTGTCTCAATCTGGTGAGTGCACTCACTCTACAGCAAAACTTTAACACACAAAGAACAAACAAACAAAATCTTGCCTATGCCTGTGATCCTGACTGTCTGGGATGCTCGGGGGTAGGACCACTGCATAGTGAGACCCCATTATGGGTGTCTATCTCTCTTTTCATCTCATGAAAGAAATAAACTATCTACTTACATGGTATTGTATGATTTCTCAATTGCATAAAATAGCCTAGGAAATTATTTTCAATGCCAATATGAATTATTTATTTTGTGTATTATTTGTGGCAATATTCAAACTCATTCTGCAAACACAAGACTTGGGGGCCAATTTGTCTTTCCACCTAGCACATACTCAGAGAAATAAAGCTAATTTTTTTTTTTTTTAAATTATATTTGACTAGTGAGAGACACTGAGAGAGAGAGAGAGTAAGAAAGCAAGCCACCAGGTCTGGGACTCAAACTGTTGTCGGCCATGTGGGAACCCAGCACCTTAACCACCATGCCACCTACCGGCCCCAATAAAGCTAATTTTAATATTAACCTATGCAAATAAGTCTGTTGTAAAGGATTATAAAAATACAATTCAATGCAAAAATAAATGCTTTGGAAAACATGTCACAATTTCCTGAGAAATTAAAATAAATATGAGCTTTATATCTACTACTAACCTTGTTGTCCATCTGGCATGGTTACAATGATGGGCTGGCCTATGCCACTGGTTGGAATGGAATGCAAATTCCCAAGCTGAATTCCATCTGTAACTATTGTGATAACTTGCTGACCCCCTGAGCTAACTACTTGCTGAATTGCACCATCCACAGATTCTGCTGTAACTACTTCTTCCGTGGCAACTACTGAAAGAGAAAGAGAAATAGTAAAGATCAGTGAATATACAGTATAATACGAAGAGAATTCATTTTTGCCTTGTCTGCTACTTTTGCTTTCCCTGTTTCTTTTTTATACTTGGTTTTTAGACGCAGGCTCCTGTGATGCTGTAGATACACAGGTAAACAGATCTATAACTAAAATCTCAACTTTACAATAAGTGAGTCATAACTATCTTTGCATGTGTGTAGTTGAATAAACAAGTTCTCTTTAATTATATTAGTTACAAAATTTATAACATCTCCTAATGTCATGATAAATGTTACCTCTGCTAAATAAAATTGTACAATTCAAAAAAGAATTTTAAATATGTTTAGCTTCTATTTACATTTACATATGAACTGATATACAGAATAAGTAGACTCCTTTCCTGGATTGAGGAAGCAAGGGTTGGTTGTCTTGAAAATAACCAGTATGACAGTGAGCAATACAATATATTAACATTTACCTAAAATATGCTCTTAATAACTTATGAAAGGCTCATAGAAAATTCTGGAAGCTAAATAAGGCACTTCTGATTTTGCCTGGGTAAAGAAATCACAAGTTTGTACTGCCAAAATCCTTTCCTATGAGCAATTCTATACCCAACTATTAATCCCAAAGGGCATGCATAGGAACATTCAGAGTGGTTTACCCATAATCATTAAAAACTAGAAATAATCCAGATATTTACCGATAGTAAATAAACTATGGTAGACATACATTGCAAAACTACATAGCAATTAAAGTGACCATATGCAAAACATGAATGAGTCAGACAAAAACAGTACTGAGTGATGTAAACCAGACACAAGGAGCAATGTTTATACAGATGTGGCCACTCTGTGATAATTCAAGCTATATACTAATGATCTATGAATTTCACTGTATGTATGTTACATTTCTTTTCTTTTCTCTTTTAGGTTTTTGCCATAGGGCACACAAGACCACTGGAAAGAGACAGAGAGGAGAATTGAGAAATCACTCCCCAGGGGAATAGCTGCATGACAATCCCTTCTCCATCCTCCTCTTGGGATTTTTGGCACACGCATACATGCACCTTGTATGACTTTTCAGGCTGCCAGCATTGGGACTCAAATTGCAGTCAGTCATGTGGAAATTCAGTGCCTTAATCTCCACACCACCTGCTGGCCCCATGTCACATTTCCATTAAAAAAAAAAAAAATCAAGACAAATGTGCACAATATAAAATAGTAATAAATGTTGCATATGGTAAATATGTTTTATTTCTCTGCTTTATTATACACTGCATACATGATTGGGGAAAAAAACACTTGTGTACCACAAAGATGTGTAATTAGTATATGCACATTAGAAATTACAATAGAAATTATTACTGAAAAAAGGAATAATGATAGTAATGGATTACAACACATTGAATTTTTAAATATCTACTATAAAACAGAAAAGGGGAAGGAGCTTCACAGAAGAATGACATTTAATTAACACAGAAGAAATAACAAATTCAGAAAAATTATCATTATAATCCTTAATATAATAATTGATTCAAGCAAATATCACTAATAAATCCTAAAAGCATTGGTGAAATGTTTTAAGGAAACAGGATATTTAAATGTTCTCAACTATCACAGCAAAGATGATCATTAATTACCAGGGGGAAATGTTGACCTGGCATTCACTATTTTCTTTTTTTTTCTTCTTCTTCTTCTTCTTCTTCTTCTTTTTTTGGAGAGGTTTTTGCTGTAGGGCGCGTGCGCTCGCCAGAAAGACAGAGACAGACAGAGAGATAGAAAGCGAGAAATCACCCCCCCCAGGGGGGATGGCCACGCTGCAATCCCTTCTCCTCCATTCTCCTCTTGGGATCTTGGGCACACACGCACGCACACACGCCCGGCATGAGTTTAAGCCACCGGGTCCGGGATGTGAACTGTAGTCAACAATGTGGGAGTTCAGTGACATAGCCATTACGCTAACTGCTGGTCCAGCATTCACTATTTTCACAAGTGGTTATATGAGGAAGCCATGACATCATCGTCTTGATGTGACGCAATGGGCGGTTGTACTGTGTACTTCCTGGCAATGTTTGACCGGAACTAATTACGAAGATGAGAATGAATACCGAATATGGGCGGTTCTGCAGACAACTGGAGCTACCAAGACTTCAAAGTCATAAAGAGCAATCAGGGGGCTGCCAGGTGGTATGGTAGTTGAGGGGCTGGACTCCCGCATGGCCAACTGCAGTTTGAGTCCTGGCCCAGGTGGTTTGCTTTCTCATTTCCCCTCTTTATCTTTCTCTGATCAGATTTTAAAATAATAATAATAAATAAAATTAAATAAATAATTTAAAATTAAAAAAAAAGAATAATGGAAGTAGAACGATCCCAGATTGAGAAGACTAAGAAAAATAAAGTACATATAATGGATAGGCTTTACTTGGACCCTGAATGAAAAAAGTAACTGTTATAAAGGACATTTGGGAGACAACTGCAAAAACTGGAATATGGAACATATGTCAAAAAATGTTACTAAATTAATGTTGATGTTTTTAGGAAATATAATGGTGCTGTAGATAGGCAGAAGACTGTCCCTTGTCCTTGGGAGAGATATGCCAACGTAAAGATGAAGTGTCATGATGTCTACAGTCTATTTTCAAATATTTTGACAAAATAAAAGTGTGTGTGTGTGTGTGTGTGTGTGTGTGTGTGTGTGTGTGAGTAAGAAAATATGGTTGTGGCAAGATGTTAACAGCTGGTGGCAAATACAGGCGAAAAGTATACCCCAGGCACATGTGCGTGCATACCCAAGAACCACCAGAGGAGAACAGAGAAGGGATCACAGTTTGGTCATCCCTCCAGGGATGCTTTCTCACTTTTCCTTGGTTTTCCTCTCTCTGTCTCTCTTCAGCAACATGTACCCTCTAGCTAATTAAGAAACAAAACAAAAACAACAGTGGACATAGTTTTTAAGATGTACACAGGCCTGGCTTCAACTCTGTTACTGTGTTATTTGGTTACAAAGGGTCACATTACAAACTACAGAATATTCAAAATACAAACAACCTTATGTTTTCTCTCATTATTTTTGCTTCTCTTAAACTAGGAAAATTTCAAGAAGATAATTACAAAATAAAATACAAAATATATTCAATAGAATGACTACTAAGGTTTTCAAACACATTAACTTTTGCTTTGATTTTTTTAAATATCCATATGAAAAAGAAATGTTCACTCTGATTGAATGCTAACTATAGTGAATATTTTAAAGCATAATCATATGTAAGAAATTTCTGAGATCACACAATCAAGGCACAGCTCCAAAACTTTCATCTTTGCACTATTTGCAGCAACTGTTATTAAAATAAGAGGGTTCTTGCCTTTCATCTAAGAAATGTCCTTTTAAGTTGTGTTATGGTAAGATACTTTAGAAAAAATTAAAGGAAACCAATTAAGTAAAAAGACAAAATGCTTCCACATAGGAAATGTTAAGACACACAAGAATAAAAAGAGAAAGCCTAAAAATTCTAAAAAGACTGTTAAATATACATATATTCAAATAAATAACAGGATAAAATAAAAAATACATATATCCCAAAATGTAAAACACTCTGGATGAAAAAATAACTAATATCATACATATTTATTAACCTAGTTCAAAAGTCAAGTTGTAGTATTTAAAGAGCACCTAGGTAATCTACAGCACTTTCCGAGATATCTGAAATCGCTCAGTTCAACGTTATTTTGAATTATAGTGCTATAAAACTGAAATAAAAGAGGCAGGAAAACTATCTTTGAAATGTTCTGAAAGATTGAAAATTCTACATAGAAATATTTAATAAAATAGAAACTAAATTTATTGGGAAAAAATAAGGTACAAAAATATCACGGCTGCAATGGAACCTGAAATTAAAAACAAAAAAGCAAACAGAAAACAACTTCATGAGGCCCCATAACTTAGTCCTTAAAGGCAGCTCAGCCTTATTACACTACTTTAGTAACAGACCAAAAAATTAAGCACAGAAAGAACCAGGTTCAAATTTCACTACTAGAGAGAAAGTAAGTATGGAACTTTTTACAGCTATCAGGTGCAATACACCTTTGGCAAACTATCTTATCAGTAATTAGCAGAAGTTGCTCTAAAGACAAGAATAAGAAAAAAAAAAAAAGGTGGTTATACACGTCTACTTAATCAAGGTATTATAAAGCTGGGCCACAAGAATAACACAGCTAAGAAAAGTTTCAACATAGGACAGAGTAGAGCTATAAAACTGAGTTTTATGAATGAGTGTTTTTTTTTTTAAAGGTTTTTGCTATAGGGCGCGTGCGCTCGCCAGAAAGACAGAGAGAGACAGAGAAATAAAAGCATGAAATCAGGGAACCAGCAGTTAGCGTAATGGCTATGTTGCTGGATTCCCACGTAGTCGACCGCGGTTCAAGCCCTGGACCCAGTGGCTTAAACTCACGCCGGGCACGTGTGCGTGCGTGCCCAAGATCCCGAGAGGAGAAGGGAGGAGAAGGGATTGCAGAGTGGCCATGCCCCCCTGGGGGGTGATTTCTCGCTGTCTGTCTCTCTGTCTTTCTGGCAAGCGCACGTGCCCTATAGCCAAAAACCTCTCAAAAAAAAAAAGCTTCACATCTCCCTTTTCCTCAAATGTCATTCTCCAGCTTTTCTCAGACTATTCCTACTTTTTTTTTTTTTTTTTTTTTAAGAGATGATTGCTATAGGGTGTGTGCACTCACTAGAGAGAGAAAAATAAAAAGCGAGAAATTACTCCTCAGGCGGGATGGTCATGCCACAGTCCCTTCTTCTCAGAATCTTGGGCACACACACACATATGCTCAGCATGAGTTTTAAGCTGCTGTATTTGGGACTCGAACTGCAGTCAACTACATGGGAGTCCAGCAATTTAACCATTACGCCATCTGCTGGTCCCTAGACTAATTCCTACTTAATCTTCAGTGTCAATGTCTCTTTTTCTGGGAAGAATCATGACCCTCCATGTGGCCAGTAAGCTTCAGTAGAAAGACAGGAAAACATGATTGCCTGTGTTTATTAATGACTAATGTACTGCATGGCAGTGGTTTTCCTGATGAGGAAAAGGGTGATAGCAATCCCTAAAAGACAGGTTTTTCCTGTACTGTCATTTAGAAATGACTTCCAAAATGAAATGATTTCCAAATTGTATGACTTGGAATGAGTCCCAGTCTATCTATATCCTATCCACTCTCTAGGGCACAACTCAACATCCTTCCCACCTCTGTGCATACCCCCAACTCGAGCTAGCAGTAATCTCTACCCTCAACACCAAAGAAACTCAAAGGGATATTCTAATCGTTAACCACTGACTACCTAAAGTTATAGTTGCTTATAACATCAATAAGACAGAGATATTTGATTTCACAAAGAAAGAATTATAACAGACTTCAGGAGGCTCTCCTTGGACTAACATTAACATTTGTTTTATATGTGAAAGATGGTCCTAATATAATCATGAAGGCACTATTTAAAGTCACAATTACCAAGTGAAATGCCATGGTATCCTAGACTATCACAAGTGCCTTCTCTTTATATGAAGGACCATGCCAGCCAGCTGGCTTCCATTTAAAATGCAGTCAAGCTGCTGCTACTCTATTTGGTATCCCAAAAAAAGTATGTATTCCATCACTTAGCCAGTAAAAGAAAATTCTATGTACAGTAACAATTAGTGTATTGGTGGGTCTTACATTACTTACTTACTTATTGGAGAGGTTTTTGCTATCGGGTGCATGCGCTTGCCAGAAAGACAGAGACAGACAGAGAGACAGAAAGCAAGAAATCACCCCCCAGGGAGGATGGCCATGCCGCAATCCCTTCTCCTCTATTCTCTTCTCGGGATCTTGGGCACGCACGCACATGCACCCGGTATGAGTTTAAACCACAGGGTCTGAGACTCAAACTATGGTCAACTACATGGGAATCCAGCGATGTAGCCATTACAACATCTGCTAGTCCCAATTATTTATTTTATTTATTATTCTTTTTTAATTTGACCAGAGAGAAAGAGAAAAAAGAGAAAGTGAGAAAGCAAGTTGCCAGGTCCAGGACTTGAACTGCAGTGAGCCACGTGGAAGTCCAGTGCCCTCAACCACCACGCCACCTGCCGGCCCCCTTACATTACGTTTAAAAAGAGCAAGACAGGGGCTGACCTGTTGTCTAGTGGCTGAAAGAGCTAGATCCCAGATAGTCAACCACAGTTCAAATACCAGTCCCAGGGGCTTGAAAAACACATGTGCATGTATGCCCCAAATTTCAACGAATGGAGAAATGGAGAGTGGGTTGTATCGTGATCATGCCCTGTTGGGGTGCTTCTCCCCTCTCTTTAGATAAAATTAGTTAACCTCCAAAAACCTCGGTTTCATCATATGTAAAATTAACAATACATTACTGTGTTTCCTGTATTCTAAGATGTCCTTAAAAGTGTATATTGGGTTGTCAGAGAAGTCACGATGTATTTCTTCTATGTAAAATGTGTCATGACTTTTCAACCCCCAATATTTAAACATTTGTAAAATGAGGACAAGGCTGACAACTGATGATATAAGAAACTGGATACTCAAGAGGCAGAGGAATAATCTGTGGCAGTTTTAGCTTTGCTCAAGCATGTGCAGACTGAGCACTGAGAAAGATGTTTGTTTCTATGTTTATACACCTCAGCGGGACTGTTCATGCTGGTGGAAATACATTTATCTAGTTTTTACTCAATTTGAGTTCTTAAGATAATTTCAAAACTATTCCACTATGATGTAGCATTGAAATAAAAAATTATTCTGCTCATAGACTATTGTAAGTCACATGCAATACAAGATAATTCTCTCAGACTAGACCACAACATTTTCTTTTTTAAAAAAGAAGTTTTTGCCTTAGGGCAGGAGTGCTCATCTGAGAGAGAGAAGGGCAAAGTGAAAAATCCCTCCCCGCCCCCCAGGAGGGATGGCCACACTGCAATCCCTTCTCCTCAGTTCTCTTCTCGGGATCTTAGGCATGTGCACACATACACACCAAGCATGATTTTCAAGCCTCCGGAGTCCAGGACTCAAATCACAGTAGGCCATGTGTGAGTCCAGCAACATAAGTTCTATGCCAACCATACCATTTTCAAAGGCAGGGGAAGTTAGAGGAGTTGGTGTGACCAATTCATGGAGCCAAACATCTAAATGCCAGAACTTCCAGTTGACTTCAAGAAAAGCTGTTAATTTTCTGGAATATGTAATTTAATTAAAAACCAGAAATTTACATTTAACAAATAGAAACCACCAATGAAATCAGGTGTCTTTGGTTAAGCTTCTGTGGTTACATAGGTGCTAAGAGATCCAAGCATGGGTTATCAAAGCAGCCCATCAATATAATCCATATAATGGCTAATGGCCAACAGCAACTCAGAAAAATCTCAGGGCTCCCAAGTATATTTAGATTCAAACTTTGATTATGATGCTAAAGAAGTTGGCTAAATGCCAGTTAGTTAAAAAAAGAAAAAGGGAAAAAGAGACAGAGAAAGAGAAAGTGAGAAGTCACCCCCCAGGGCAGATGGCCACACCACAATCCCTTCTCCTCCATTTTCCTCTTGGGATCTTGGGCATGCACACACACATGCCCGGCATGAGTTTAAGCCACCGGGTCCTGGACTGGAACCACAGTCGACTACATGAGTACGGCAACATAGCCATTACACCAACTGCTGATCCCAGAGAAAACACTAATTTAAAAAACAGATAAATTATTCTTTACTTTTGTAAGCATTGATTTAAATATAATGGCTTACACTACAACGAGGATATTTTCTTGGAGCTTTTAAAATTTTCTAATAAAAAAATATTTACTTACAAAATAATTACAGCAAAAAGTATTTTAGTTAAGTTTAAAGATAAACCTTGTTTAAACCAGCTATTCATTAACACTGCATGTCATCATTTAGTAACAGGTAACCCTTTTTATGCATAGGGTTGTCAGAAAAATCATGACTTATATTTCTATGCAAAATGCGTCAGGACTTTTCTGACAACCCAGTATTATTTTCTAGGTCTCATCATCATTAAGGTTTTATATTGTTCTACAGAACTGCAAAAAATTAAAATTTATGAAAAAGCAAATTCAAATATATTCACTTATTTTATTTAAACAGAAACTTACAAATTGGTACATGATACACTGGGTACATGGGCAAGTTTTCTGTGAACCACACATGTTTATTTTTAGTTTTAGATAGTTGCCAAAATTTAATATTCTTTTAAAATCTGTATTTCCAGCTTACCATGGAAAAGCAGAATGTGGTAGTACTGGATGCATGATTATCATCAGCAAGAGTTGAGAGTAGACACTCCCCACCCTCCCTCTCCCACATTCTTTAGCTGCATTTAACAACTCTGTCCATTTTACCCAAATTTCATACATCATCTTTCTGGCCTTTGTAAGTGCTTAAATGTACAAGTTATTTATTTTTTCAGATTTGCTAGAGGGTGCATATGCTCGCAGAAGAGTGACAGAAAGAGAAAAAGAGAGGGAAAATGAGAAAGCACCTGCAATTATTACTCCTCCACTTTCCCTTTGGGATCTTGGGCATGCGGGCACACACACGCACCTGGCATGTTTCTCAGGTCACTGGGTCTGGGATTCAAACTGTGCAGTCAGCCATGTGGGATCAAGCCATTTAACCACCACACCCACCAGCTGGCCCTAATACACCACAGTTTTTTCCTTGTTTTTATTTGTTTCTTTCTTTCTTCATATCGTCTTAATGTACAGCTTTTAACATACACATTTGACTTGTTTTTCTAACCTGGAGTTTCTGAAGAATTGGACAATGGAGCAGATGCTTCGGCTAAGGCAGCTAATGTAGCTAATACTGATGTAGAGGAGTTTCCAAACTGAACCGCAGACACACCTGTTTCATCTACGAGAAAAGAGAAAATAAATTAGAATTTTTAAGGAAATTAATCCAATACATGTTTCTGATACTCTCTTTTATTTTATGCAGCTCTTAAATGAAGCTTGGATAGCATTAGTTTCTGAAAGGGATAATATGGAAACAGTCTGCTATATCACCTTCCTTTAGAGTGTTTTGTCTCATAAAAAATTTGCTTTTTTGCCAATTACACCAAAGAAAACCAAGGTGGCTGATATAATCTTACCCTCATTCTCCAACAGTCCTTTCTTAAAAGGATGAATACCTACTAAAGCATAAAATCCCAACCGCTATCCTATGTGCATCTCAATACCTGTGGCCTTGGATGAATTTTCTGAAGATACCAGACCTGTTAGGTTCACCACCCCTCCAGGTCCGATGATAAACTGCGGAGTGGCGGCATGTATCGTCACAGTGTCGGGGCTCTCGGGGTTTGTGTTGATTTGGTTCTGCATAGCAATCTAGGGGACAAATGACCACAGCATGTTCAGAATTACAACCAGGACACGTGGTATAGATTCTCTACGTAATGTAAACACACATGAAAAGGAGCACTCTCTAAGAACCGTATCATACAAATGGAAGTATTTGTTTATGGTTTATTAAGCATGTCGTAGTAAACCACAGGTATGAATTTATACTCTAAGGTCTTATTAGGTAAAGCAACAAAATCCTGTGAAAGGAGAAATGGATATTTGAAAAGCTGGTATAGAATACAGAAAAACTAGAGTTCAAAGATATTCTACTGCCCTGTAGCCATAAAAATTAAATTATTTAAATTATTTTCTCTACTACATTCAGCAATATATAACACTTACATAAGTAAAGCATGACATTCCCAATTAATTTGGGAATCCTATTAGTTTTTTAAGAGAGATTTTTGCTATAGGGCACGTGTGCTCACCAGAGAAACAGATTTCTAGTGAGTAATCACCCCCTAAGAGGGATGGCCATGCTGCACTCCCTTCTCTTCCACTCTCCTCTTGGGATTTTGGGTACACATGCATACATGCCCAGTGAGAGTTTCAAGCCTCCGGGTCTGGAACTTGAACCACAGCTGGCCATGTTCAGTGACATAACCATTACGCCATCTGCTGGTCCCAATTGTTCCCTACTTTCAACCCCAACTTTCAAACGGAACTCTAAGGAGTAAAAGAATGGGAAGAAGCATGGTAAAACTCACTTGCCTGAACATAAAACATGTCTTAAGTAACTAGGAAGTTTATTGGAGTCAAATGGTTTTAGAAAAGAAGAGTTTTACTGGGAAAGGAAACAAGAAGATAGAAAAAAGAGGTAGTAAGTAAAAAAAGATCATTTATATCAGTATCGTTCAGCTGAAGAAAAGAGAAGTAATGTTGGTTAACTAAAAAAACCTGCCCAAAAGCCAGAAATAACTATGTCCACAGATTTTTTTCAAGATGGTAAAAAATAAAAGAAACATTAGAATGATAACTACATTACTCATTTGAGTGATATTATTATGGTTGTTAAATATTTTTTAAATTTTTAATATTTATAAAGTAATTTAAAGTAGACTTTGACAAACCATATAGTATTCAAATATAACTTGAATATATATGGCAACAAAAATCATTTCATAGGATAAAATGTCTAGGAAAATTCAGGAATGTAAAATATGGAAAGTAACCACCTTATGTAATTATGTTACATGAAAAGACTGTGGTCTTAATCAAGAAAATAAATAGTAACAAACAAAAAGGGAATAAAGATCAAAAAACCTGCCTGAAATAACTAAGAGCAGAATGAAGAGCTATAATCTTAATTGTTAAATCATCCACAAGACACAAAACCATCTACCTATAAAGCTTCCTTTAGTTTCTTTTCTTTTAAACGCCATAGGCCAGCCTAATGGCACAGCAGTTAAGTCTATGCACAGAAAGCTGGAGCCCACATGCTCAACTTGAAATCCCGGCTCCAGCAGCATCAAAAATATGCTGGGAACGTGTGTTTGTATGTCCAAAACCCTGACGTGATAGAGAAATGGGAGGATAAAGGACTGCAGCATGACTGAGCCCCTTCGGAGGGTGTTTTCTCTCAATCTGTCTGTTTCTCTCTCTTTCTCTGGCAAACACACACACCCAGAGGCAATTTTTTTTTTTTAAATTTTAAAGCCTGGGGTCAGCAGGTAGCATGGAGGTTAAGGAGCTGGGCTACCACTAAGGCACTGGGCTTCCACATGGTCAGCTGCTATTCAAGCCCCAGACCCAGTGGCTTGAAAAGCACTCTGGGCATGTGTGAGTACATACCCAAAGTCCCAGGAAGAAAATGGAAAAAGGATGGTGGTATGGCCATTTGCCCCTGGTGGGTGATTTCTCACTTTCTCTTTCTCTGTCTCTCTCCAGTGAGCACAAGTGCCTTAAAAAATTTAAAGACGGGGGACCAGCAGTTAGCGTAATGGCTATGTCACTGGACCCCCATGTAGTCAACCGCGGTTTGGGTCCCGGACTCACGCTGGGTGCATGCGCGTGCGTGCCCAAGATCCTGAGAGGAAAATGAAGGAGAAGGGATTGCGGCGTGACCATCCCCCCTGGAGGGTGATTTCTCGCTTTCTGTCTCTCTGTCTCTCTGTCTCTGTCTGTCTGGTGAGCACACGTGCCCTATAGCAAAAAACCTCTTCAAAAAAAAGAAATTTTTAAGTCGAAAGTTACCTGTAATATCTCTGCTAAATCTTCATTCCCATTGTCTATCGAAATATCAAATGCAGTTTTACAAAATTTACTTTGCGTGTGTACATCAGCACCGTATTTGATTAAAAGTTCCACCACTTCCTGATGGTTGTGTTCCGTGGCCCAATGTAGAGCTGTCATCTTTAACATGTCCTTTGCATTGACGTCAGCACCATGCTACAAAAGTGTTTCAAGATAAAAAGATTACTAAATATGAAGTATTCCTGATGTAAAAATACCAGTCACTATGCTGTAAAGTAAAAACAACATGCTCAATTGTGTGTGTGTTAAATACATGTTCCACCAATCATAACTCTTCTGTCATTTAATCATTTTCCTACCATGGTCACTTTCTTAACCACTTTTTTTCCTTTAAATTTCTTAGGAATTCTTTTTTTAGTCACTCAGTTAGGGCACAAAGGGTTAGGAAGGCATAAAAAGTGAAAGAAAACTATGAATAAGATCCCTCCAAAACCCTTCTTAGTGTTGTATGGGAGCTGGACTACTTATTCCTCATTTACATTAAAATATCCTTTGCTTTCAAAATCAGTATAATATAAGGAATTAAAGCTAGAAGTACAATGTCCAATAGGATAGTCCCTAGACATAAGTGGCTATTAAGCACCTAAACGTGACTAGTCAGATTAAATGTGATATATATAAACACACACTGGAATTCAATGATTAATACCAAAAGAATATAAAATATCTCAATAATTTTTAGACTGCTTTCATGTTTAAGTGATTATTTTATATATACAGTGTTGAATAAAACATAATAAAATTACTCTTTTGCTTTTTCAATTGTAGCAAGCAGAAAGACTATCTAGAATTTTATGCGATTTGCATCTGTGGTTTCCATTGTATTTCTTTTGAATAGGCTATTATGGAGAACGGGATAAAAAGGATCAAGAATAATGTCTATCACTGAGCTGGCTCCAAGGGCTGGTGGTTAAGGCTGCTGGATCCTACATGATGGGTACAAGCGCATGTGTGCCCAAAATCCCAAAGGAAGAGGAATATGGAGAAGAAGGGATTGGAATGTGACCATTCCTCATAGGGGCACTCTCTCCTTTCCCTCACTCTCTCTGGGTGAAACCCAAAAAAAAAAAAAAAAGAAGAATGTCAGGGCAAGCAAGTGGTGTGGTGGTTAAGGCACTGGACTTCCACATAGTCAACCGTGGTTTGAGTCCTAGACCTGGCACTTGCTTTCTCATTTTCTCTCTTTCTCTTTCTCTCTCTGGTCAAATTTTTAAAATAATAATAATATTGATAAATAAAATTGAATGAATTTTTTTTTTTTTTAAAAAGGATAATGACTATCTTGCTTTATCTTTCCTCTCTCTGGTGAGCACACATACTCTCTAGCAAAAAATAAAGATAAAGATAACATCACTCTCTTTCAGAATTTTCTACATTACTCCTTGGCATTTAGATAAGTAAAGAAAAATTTTCATTTATATTTTTCGTTACTTTTGTTAATTATCCCAAGCCTAACGTTCCCTTTCATGAACACTTTAACTATATTAAGGCAAGGCTGTAATTCTTTATCAAAAGGTAGACCAAGGTGTAAGAAATCAATTGTTTGACTTACCTAAGAATATATCTTTTCTCCCCCTCACAAAGGAAAATTTAAGGTATCTTTCATTTGATAGGTTGATACACACAAAAGAATTAGATGCTATAGATAAAACACGAAGTAGCCATTCAATAAAACTAGCTCTTTTCTCTTTCCTACAGAACCATAGTCTTTGGAGACTTACTTTCAAAAGCAAAGTTCAAAAAAAGAACACATACCTTAAGCAAAACCTCAACTATGCTGGCATGGCCCTCAGAAGCTGCCATATGTAATGGGGTTCGGTCCACTTTGGTTCTGGCATCCCTACTCACACCAGCTCGGAGTAGTACCTCTGTGGTGGAATAATGCCCGTACTGTGCGGCCAGGTGAAGTGGAGAAGTTCCCAGCTGTATGACAAGAAAAAGAAAATCCACATTTATTGCTATTTTTAATACCCTTCTTCTACTACTATGTATTATTATATATTACCTGTTTACATAGTAATTCAAAAGAAATTATTTGATTTATGCTTCTTATATCCTCATCTCAGAGGTCTTCAAATCCCATACACTCTTCAATGTGAAAGAAAAGTCAACGTATTCTTTAATTCAAACTTTCTTTTTTTCACACATATCATTTCATGTAATCTCATCATAACACAGGTACTATTATTATCCACATTTATAAGCAAACAAACCAAGACATGAAAAGTTATTAATTTGCCTGAAGTCACAGAAGAAAGAGAACACAAAGCTAAACAGCTGTTTTGTTTTGTTTTTCTTTAAGAGGTTTTGCCTTAGGCATGTGCACTTGCCAGAGAGAAACAGAGACAGTGAGACGGAAAGTGAGAAATCACCCTCCCAGAGAGAATGGCCACACCACCATCCCTTCTCCTCCATTCTCCTACCAAGATCTTGGGCATGCACACACACACACCCAGCATGATTTTTCAAGCCACCAGATCTGGGACTTGGACTGCAGTCAACCATGTGAGAGTCCAAAGACATAACCACCACACCATTCACTGGCCCTAACATGTGCTCTTACTACAGGGCAAAGATGAATTCATTTACCTTTGAAATATTTTATCACTTTAAAAAAAAAAATCTTTTTTTTTTTTTTTTAAATAGATGGCACATGCACATTTTTTTTTTTTTTTAAAGAGATGGCACATGCACTTGCCAAAGAGACAGAAAAGGCCGAGAAGAGAGTATCCTTTATAAAGAATGGCCAAGCTGCAATCCCTTCCCCTCAATCTCTCCCTCCCTTTGGGATTTTGGACATGCATGCACATGTGCCTGGCGTGTTTCTCAAGCCACCAATTCTAGGACTGGAACAGTATGATCAGCCATGTGGGATCCCAGCTGCCTTAATGACCAGGTCACAGAGTCAGCCCAAAATCTGATATTTTTAAGGGAAGGTCATTCTAATAGATGGACAAAGGTTTTTCTCATGTGTTTGTTTTTAATTGCCAGAGGCTGCATGTGCTTATCAGAGACAGAGAGAGGGAGAAGTAGAAAACCTTGTGACAGACAGACAGATACACACATACACACACACACACACCATGTTTTACAAGCTGCAAGGGCCAGGATTCAAACTTCAGTTGGCCATGTGAGATCCAGCTTCCTTAACCAGTAGGCCAGGAGAAGCTTGTTAAACAATCCTCCCTTCTTTCTCTGGGCTTCGTCGTATTTTTCTACAACTGGACCTTTCTACACTCTTAAATCCTAATATTTAATGAAAGTATCTCAAGAGCACATTTAGCAACCATGAGTTTTGTTCAGTGTGATATTAGGATCTTTTTCTTCTGTATATATATTTTTTTCTCCTTGGGACATTCCCTTTTTGGTTGTTGATGAAAAATACATAACATACATATGTGTCACTTACAGAAAAATATCGAGGCAAACATCCAGGAAATCAACACCACAGGAGTTGGTTCTAAAAATAAGTCAGTAATTTAAAATCTTCCTACATGGGCCGGCAGGTGGCATGGTGATTAAGGCACTGGACTCCCACATGGCTAACAACAGTTCGAGTCCCAGACTTGGAGGCTGGCGCTCTGTGTTTGTGTGCACGTGTGTGTGTATGTGTGTGTCCCTGGTCAAACTGAAGAAGAAATTAAATAATTCATTTCTTTTAAATTTTTAAAAATAAGAACCAGTAGTTTGTGTAATGGCTATGTCACTGGATTCCCATGTAGTTGGCCGTGGTTCAAGTCCCAGACCCAGTGGCTTAAACTCATGCCGGCATGCATGTGTGCGTGTCCAAGATACCGAGAGGAGAATGGAGAAGAGATTGCAGCGTGGTCAACCCTCCTGAGGGGTGATTTCTCGCTTTCTGTCTCTCTGTCTCTCTCTGTCTTTCTGGCAAGTGCACGCACCCTATAGCAAAAACCTCTCAAAAAAAAAAATGTATTTTTTAAATACATATTCCTATATGCTACTCCCTAATCACAAACCTTTCCTTCAGCCCCAGAAATATCTCACATTTGGTGACAAACATCCCTTTGCTTTTCTTTGTATCACTTATGCACTCCTAAATACTTTGATTTCATGTCGTGAACATTAAATAAATTGAATCATACTCCCTATGTTTCTCTGATTTGCCTTTTTTTGCTTAATATTATGTTCATGTGATTTACCCATGTTAATGAACATCAGTGTAGTCAACTAATTTCCTCTGCACTACAATATTCCATTGTATGAATAAACCACAATTAATTTAATCAGTTTACTGGTTAAATTTGGGTTGTTCCCAGTTGTTTGTAATTATGAATAATGTTACTGCTAAATGCAATCTTGTATGTGTTTCCAGCACATGAACAAGAGATTCTTTTGTGAATATTGTTAGAAGTGCAATGCTATATCATAGCGCTTGCCTGTGTTCAGATTAACTAATTAGACACTGCCCAACTGTTCTCCACAGTTATTAGACCAATGTGGACTTCCATCGAAAGTATTTGAGGGTTCCCTCTTCGCCATCTCCTTAGCAAGGTTTGGTACCATTAGTCTTTTTTGACTAGCCTGGTAGATAGACCCTTTCTAGCAATATTTCATGACTTCACTTGGCATTTGCCCAAGTTGAGCACATTTTCTTGCTTATTGATCATTCAAACTTTCTAAAGTATCATATCATGTTTACTGGTCATTCAGACTTGGTAAGGTATCACATCAAGTAATTTGCTCAGGTTTTTATTATTTTATCTGTCTTTTTAGTACTGATCCACAGAATTCTTTATGTGTTATGGGTATTAACTTTTAAGATCATTTTGTCTTAATATACTATAGTATCACTATTTTTGAACCTATATATGGATTTTTTTTTAAACTGATCCTACTGGAGATGTGTTGGGCTGCTTGAATCTGTAGGATGCCATCTTTCATCAATTCTGGAAAATTCTTAGCAATTACTTCTGCAAATTATTTCATCCTATTCTTAGTCTCCCTGTGGATACATGATTAGATTTATGTTAGACTTTTTCACCTCACATTTTTGTCTGTGTTGAATTCTGGGTCATTTTTTCTTATCTTTCAGTTTATTGATTTGTTTCTTCGGTTGCTTCTAAAACGTTACCAATATCTTACAGCTATGCTTCCACTGTCAGTTGTTTCAGTGGGTTATTGTTAAAGGCACCTTGTGCTTGCGTGTTTCATTATTTCTGACTGCTTTTCTTTTAGTTCATTTGTGAATATGAAGTCTGAAATGGAGACAGATGCTTCTAGAGAATATGTGAATTTTTGTTAAGTTTTTCAGCATATACAGGTATTTATGATTGAAGCAGCAAACGTGTACAAGAGATAGCTTGTAGTTTCAAATTCTCAACAACAAAGTTCTTCCTCTCTCCATTCAGTGCTCTGGTTCAAGTTGGATCATTCTCTTTGCAACACCTTACAACTGGGCCGGGGGTAGGAGCAAGTGGGCGGAGGAAAGGGATATTTCTGATTTACTCTTACACTGAAGGTGAAGCTCTCTGGGATTCCAGGGTTATGGAGAAAGACTCTCCTGTCAAACTTGTCTCCATGCACACTCCCAGGTCTTTGCCTTTAGTACCCCATGCCAGTGAGTGGGAAAACCAACAGATAAGGCTGAGGTCAGCAGATGGTCTTAGCATAAAATTTCTCTGGGTTTTAGCTATTACTTGTTTTTTCTGGATGATAATCTCTTTCTTTCTAACTCAGCAGTGCACTTAAGATTTTCTTAAAAATATCTAATCAGGACAAGCAGGTGGCATGGTAGCTAAGGCACTGGATCCCACATGGCCGACTCCATGGTTCAAGTCCTGATTCTGGCAGCTTGAAAATCAGGCTAGGCACATGTGCATGTGTGCCCAAAATCCCAGGAGGAAAAAGGAGAAGGGATTGCATTGTGGCCATCCCCTCCAGAGGTTCTTTTTCTCTCTCCCTGGCAAGCACTTTATGGTAAAAAATCTAAAAGGAAAAACAAAACAAACCCGAAAAAAAAAAAATCTAATGAAAAGGTTTTGTTTTTTAAAGATAGTTCTGAAATATTTATAGATGGAACAGTAAGTTTCCTTAAATGTGCCTTAAAATAATACAGAAAAAAGAAGTTGGACAGAGTGAAAGAGTAAACAAGATTTATCACCATGATTTGATGATTTCTCAAGTTGGATAAAGGATATACGGAGCTTGATATATGTTTGAAATCTCCATAATTTAAAAAAAATGGGAACTAGACAACAGAGGCACAGTGTAATGCAATGCTCTGTAATGCTGAGGCCACATGGGAGCAGCCTGAGTTCACATCCCAACGTCTCCCTACACAGGTTAGGTGTGCCAGTGATCCTGGCTGGCTGACAGAATGTGTTACAGCATAACAATCTTATTGAAGGTGGCTGTGTCTGTCTGTCTGCCTGCCTGTCTCTCTCTCTCTCTCAGAACAAACTCATAAACTTACATTTGTGTGTGTGTGTGTGTGTGTGTGTGTGTGCGCTCAGCCATGGTGGCACAAACAGGATGGCTGCTGCTACATGAGGCTGAAGTCACATGGGGGCCTGGGTTCATTTCTAAGACCAACTTAAACAGGGCTGGTTGGGACCAGCAGATGGTGTAGCAGTTATGTCATTGGACTCCCACATGGCTGACTGCATTTCAAGTCCCGAATCCAGAGGTTTCAAACTCTCACCGGGCGCATGTGCATACGTGACCAATATGCCAGGAGAATAGAGAAGGGACTGCAGCATGGATATCCTCCCTGAGGGGGGATTTCTCACTTTATGTCTGTCTTTCTCTGTCTCTCTGGCAAGCACACGTGCCCTGTAGCTAAAACTCTCTCTTAAAAAAAAATAAAAATAAATAAAACAGGGCAGGTAAGGTACCATGTAATCCTAGCTTAGCTAACAAGGAGGCTGGGGCAAGTGGATTGTGACATGGTGAGATGCTATCAAAATTACCTCTTTTTCTCTCTCTGTTAAATTTCTTTTTTCTTTTTTTTGGAGAGGTTTTTGCTATAGGGCACATGTACTCGCCAGAAAGACAGAGAGAGACAGAAAGTGAGAAATCACCCCCGGGGGGATGGCCATGCCACAATCCCTTCTCCTCCATTCTCCTCTCAGGATCTTGGGCACGCACGCACACGCGCCTGGCATGAGTTTAAGCCACGAGGTCCAGGACTCAAATCGTGGTCGACTACATGGGAGTCCAGCGACACAGCCATTATGCTAACTGCTGGTCCCCCAAATTTTTTTCTTTTGATTTTCAAGAAAAATTAAAAAAGAAGAAGGGACAAGAAATCCAAAAACAACAAAATTAAAAGTCTGGAATTTTTAGTTGTTACCAATACAAGTGTTAATACAGATTCCTAGCCCTCCATCTTGCTTCTGATTTACCCCTGGAATTAAAGATATGTTTTTTACCTTCCCCACTGTTTCCCCACCTGAAATACAATTTGTTTTTCTTTTTGGGAGCAGTCAATATACCAACTCCAAGATCTATTACTTTCTGCATTACAAAATCTTCCTATTTAAAAGATCTTTCAATTAAATACTCATCTCATATTAGTGCACTCCAGCATTTACAAAAAAAAAAAAACTATTATGTGCACAAAATATTTGGATAGGTTCCTGATGCCAAAAACTTTTTAAAATTATACAAACCATTCTTTTTAAAAGGAAGTTTTAAAAGACAGAATTCTAAAATTGTAATTACATTTGCAAAAAAGTTAATTTATAAACACAATATTAACTAAATTCTTATCTGGAAAAACTAAAAAATGATGGGGAGAAAGAGCCACAACATTAAAAGCATTCTTTACCCAGTCGGTAGTAAAAGGAGCTCCATTTGCCATCAAAATACGCACTTCATCATCTTGACCTGCTCGCGCCGCTTCTAAAAGCTTCTTTCCCAAATCTACCAGGGACATCTAAACAAAACATAGACGAACTGAACATCAACATCTCAATGTATATATTATGGCATGACTTTTTCCCCTCCTGTCTTTATTAATAAGTCATTTTTTTATTATTCCTTCAAAAGGTTGTGGTACGATTAACCTAAAACTACAGAACACACAAAAATAATTTACATTTGGATTTTTGAAATAGATTTTCCTTTCTGAATAAGTTTTTACCTAAAATAAAATTACTTTGAAGTCTCCAAACATAGCCTGTAAAAGACAGAAGAGGTAAGTAGCAGACAAAAGCTGGCCTAAAATTTAAACCTGGAAACTGATTGATTGTTTTCATTTTCACTACAGGAGCTGCAGCAATGTATTTTTTTTATAAAAGTAAATAAAGTAAAAGATATTACCCTTATACTTTGCCTTATTTACTTTAATAAAGACGGTAATAAGTAAGACATTACCCTATTATTGTACAAATTAAATTAAATCTACTGTTAGTTTTATTAATACTAAATATGTTCAAATTTTCAAAATAAGTATTTTCTACCCCTGCATATTCAATGCATATTTCAGTTCTTCCAGAAAGGAGCACAATTTACTTCTCATGAAAACACTAAAAAGAGAATCTAGCAGTAATATAAATGGAGTATGTGTCTCAGGAAACTAGAAAGGATACTTCATATCTTGAATTCAAGATATCTGAAAATGCTAATGTCCCACCTAGGGTATGTTCTGTGTGTGTGTGTGTGTGTGTGTGTGTGTGTGTGTTTCTTGAGGAAGAATATTGAACTATGTGTTAGTAAAAAGTCATGACAAGGGTATATAGGTTAAAAAAAAAAAAAAGATTTGGATGTATCAGAGATGCTCAGATACAAGGGACAATAGTTTTTAAAAGAAAGTTTCCGAATCTAGAAAGACTACTCAGCTGGAAGAATACTCAATGATACATATAGTATCCTAAGGGAAGGTAGGTAGACTGGTTAGGGCTATGGGGAAGGGAAGATATGGATCTAGTTTTTGTTTATTTGTTTTAAGAAAGATTTTTACTGTAGGGCACATGCATTCACCAGAAAGGCAGAGAAACAGAAAGCGAGAAATCATCCCCGGGGCTATAGCCACGCCATAATCCCTTCTCCTCCAATTTCCTCTCAGGATCTTGGACACACACACACACATACATACACACACACCCTGCATGAGTTTTAAGCCACTGGGTCTGGGACTCGAACCACAGTTGACTACATGGGACTCCAGCAACATAACCATTATGCCATCTGCTGGTCCCAAGATTTAGAGTTTTAAAAAGTACATAAAGTGTGAATTTGTCTCAAAAATGTAAATATTCTTTTAGGGTTAGGTAAGTAGACACATTTCTAAGAAAGGAATAGGCTGATTACTGTATCCCAATCTTGTGTGGGCAGCTACTAATCAAGAAAGAAGAGAGACTATGTGGTGAGAATAAAGTTGGTAAATGGATCCTGAAAAGGTTGTTTCTGTCAAAAAGAATACACCACATAATTAGAAGGAATGTTAAGAGATATAAAAAGGATAGCTATAAGAAACTACATCCCTGGAACCAGCAGATGGCACAATGGTTATGTCGCTAGACTCCCATGCAGCCAATTGCAGTTCAAGTCCTGGACCTGGTGGCTTAAAACTCACACAGGGCACATGTGTGTGTGTGTGTGTGCCCAAAATCCCGAGAGGAAAACGGAGAAGAGGTTGCAACACGACCATCACCTCTAGGAGGTAATTTCTCTCTTTCTGTCTCTCTGCCTCTCTTTTTCTCTCCAGTAAGCGCATGCTCCCTACAGCAAAAAACTCTCTAAAAAAAAAAAAAAAAAAAACTACATCCTTGAGAGTACACAGAATTATTCTTTAAAGGTCTAACTCAAAGAGAAAAAGGAAGAAAAACTAAAGAACAAGAACCCAACTCATCAATGGTCAAAAAACATGATCATACATGTAAAAAAGAAAACGGAAATAATTCACTAGTATAAAAAGCAGTCAGCATCACCGATAGTCAAACAAATACTAAGTAATAATTTTAAAGTAATTCCTGATACAGTCAAGAATAGAGTGAAATTGATACTTATATAATGACACCTCATACATGCTGATAGCAATATAAATGAGTCAGCATTATTTTGTATAGCCAATTTGGCAAATTCAAATACAAAAACATGCCAGCCTACTGACCCGATAAATGACCCTGCTGGGAACTTATTTTCTATCAGTAAAGGCTTTTTAAAAAATTTGCCAGAGGGTACATGTACTCACCAGAGAGAGAGAGAAAGAGGAAGAAGTGAGAAAGTATCCCCCATAGAGGACAGCTAGCTTTGCTAAAAGGCACAAATGCTCATTGGAGAGACAGAGACAGAAAGTGAAAAACCACCCCCCAGGGAGATGGCCACACTGCAATCCCTTCTCCACTCTCCTCTTGAAATCTTGGGCACATACAACATACACATGGCATGAGTTTAAGTGGCTGGGTCCAGGACTCAAATTCAGGTAGACTACATAGGAGTCCAGCAACATAACCATTATGCCATCTGCTAGTCTCTATGGAATATTTTATTTAAAGAATTATTTATTTATTTAATTCCATTTGTTACTATTATTATTTTATTTTACCAGAGAGAGACAGAGACAGAGAGAGAAAGGAAAAGAGAAAGTAAGCCGCCACGTCTGGGATTCAAACAGCAGTTGGCCATGTGGGAATCCAGTGCCTTTTAACCACCACCACCACCCGCTGGTCCCTGGAATTATATTTTTATACTCTGAGCAATCTAAAGAAAAAGAAACTGAAATCCAATAGAACAAGATGAAATAATGTAAATAATTTTAAAACTATATATATGAGTTATGCCACATTAAGTAAAAAGATGCTAAATTAATTTTTGAATGTCGAAACATGCACATAACAAAATACTAGAAAATATTAACTAGAGTTAAGATGGGCCCCCCATTTTAGAAAGTTTATGTAATGTTGCTATATTACCTAACAAAAATGTTTCTTTAAATGCAGAAATTATATTGCATAAATGTCAACTAAGTAAATAATGACATTAAAAGAAGTTATAGGGACCAACAGGAGGAGGTGGTTAAGGCACTGGACTCCCACTGGCATACCGCAGTTCAAGTTCCAGACCTAGCAGCTTGAAAATCATGCTGGGCTTGTGTGCCTAAAATCCTGAGAGGAAAATGGAAGAGAAGGGACTACAGTGTGGCCCTCCCTCCTAGGGGGGCGATTTCTCACTTCCCACTATCTCTCTCTGTGAGTACAAGTGCCGTGTGGCAAAGAAAAGAAAGAAGAAGAAGAAAGAAAAGTTATATACAGGAAGGGTGAAAAACAAAGATAATGCAGGATATTGGGTACTTAAAACAGTAAACTGACTAATCTGCATGTAAGAATTTCAGTAAGACAATGACTTGTAATAAAACAAATGCAAAGTCGAAAGGGCTTCTCTCATAATTCAACTGTCTCTTAAAGATACTGTTTAAGGAAAAAGGATACTAAAGTTACTCTGCTTTTTGAATTCCATAGACAGGGACCACCAGATGGCATAATGGTTACGTTGCTGAACTCCCACGTAGTGGACCGCGGTTCAAGTTCCAGACCATAGGCTTAACGTTCATGCAGGGCGCATATGCAAGCATGCCCAAAATCCCAAGAGATTGTGGCGTGGCCATCCCCCTTGGGGGGTGATTTCTCGCTTTCTATCTCTCTGGCGAGAGCATATGCACCCTATAACAACAACAAAACAAAACAAACAAATGAAAATTCCAAAGACAATACACCTGTGCAGTGGATAACTGTGGCTGGATTCTTAGAAATCAGTGATTCCCAACGGTAGCAGCACTGCCCCCTAGAGGGTCCTTTATGTCTATGGATGCGTTTCTGTAACTGAAGGTGGGGAAGCTCTACTATAATAGTATTTTTTTTTTTACATTTTATTTATTCAGTCAATCATTTTCATTTGACCAGAGAAAGACAGATAAACAGAGAGAAGGAAAGTGAGAAAGCAAGCACCAGGTTCAAGACTTGAACCATGGTCGGCCATGTGGGACTGTCCAGCACCTTCACCACCACGCCACCTGCTGACCCCTATAATAGCATTTAATAGGCACGTGCCAGCGATATTAGAGCTCCAGCAATGTAGGAACAATCCTATGGCAAAGAACTGTCACATGTTCTGGATGATTTTCAAAACTCCACTGTATAGATCTACAGCTAGACCTAACAAGTAAACAAAATGCTTTCTTTTCCAGTGTTAACGTGTACCACATTTTCTGGAATGCAACCATACAACACATCATTTTGTTTTTGTTCAGAACTTTATTGAGTTCTTCATCATTTTAGAAAATGTCAATGCCATTTGGTATCTGTAACATCGATGTAACAATGTATAATTAGCTTGCACAGCTATCACATTCACTGTGATTTTATGGACATGTGCACACATGTGACGGCCTCATTGGGTCATCTAGCATAGTATGCTCTAGCATTTACATATTTCAATATACATTTTACTACAAATCTCTTCTCTTCTACTCTCCTTTATATTGGATTCAAGGCATTATAATGATTTTCTTGAAATTAAGCAGATAGATAATATTAGCTAGGGATTTCATTTGAAGTTAGCAGAAGAAGCAGAAGCAATACAAAATATTTATTATAAAAAAGTAGCAATGAAGGACCAGCATTTAGTGTAATGGCTATGCCGCTGAACTCCCAAGTAGTCGACTGTGGTTCGAGTCTCGGACCCAGTGACTTAAACTCACGCCAGGCATGTGTGCATGTATGCCCAAGATCCCGAGAGGAGAATGGAAGAGAAGGGATTGTGGCATGGCCATCCCCCCCGGGGAGTGATTTCTCGCTTTCTGTCTCTCTGGCAAGTGCATGCGCCCTATAGGAAAAAGACCTCTCCAAAAAAAAAGTAGCAATGAGAGTCAGTGGGTAGCATAATGGTTAAGGCACTGGACTCCCATGTGGCCGACCATGGTTCAAGTCATAGACG